TTTAGCACTACAGTGATTAAGTCAAATGTTCACTACTACTGATGAAAGTAGTTTTAAGATCTCACTAGAGATAAGGGCAAAGGAAAGGATTTCTGTGCGAGGAATAGCAAGAAGATGAAATTAAGATAAAAGGCATAATTCTTAAGAGGAATCATTCATAGATAAAGTAGGTCTATTTTTACATTCATTTGCATATAGATGTTCTGTGTTAGTGGTAAATGATAAGTAATTTCATGTTGTTAGCGCATCCCTGTGTTTTCTCTGCCAAATAATAATGCTATTTCATCTGCTGCAGTCTTCTAGCTCTACAGATTCAAACATACAGAGCATAATAAATTCCACTGCAGCCACAGGAGATTTAAATAACCAATACGAAACCAGTATCACTAGAATTCTGTACAAAGCAATAATTTCTTTTTTTCTTTTTTTAATCAAAACTCTATTCCTCAGAAATGCAGATTCCCCTTAAAAAGTATTTTGCAGATTCATAGGTACTTTACTAAATCCTTTGTTTAAGGAAAACTTTAAAACATCCAAATATTATTTGTGAAATTTTCTAAATATACTGATCTTTCCATGACAAAACACTTTCCATTTTAAGGTTTCATTCTTAAAAATATTTGGAAGTATTCAAAATCAAAATTAAACTTATTTGATCTTTTCCATTCAAAAAACGTACATGATATTTTGCAGTAGTAAAGCAAAAAATAAATTTGCACATATCAAGACACTGTGATGATTTCTCAGGCAAACTCCTTTTTCTCAAAGACAGAGGAAGAAATCTTGGGCTGTGCAATCTGTATTTTCAAGAGAGTGATGCAAAGGATAGTATTTTCTTGGAAAACTATGATAATTAGGAGACATATAGACCATTTTAGAGGCCATGGACACTAAGCAAAATATGGTCATACCCTGTTTTGATACAATGAGCTGCCATCTTCTGACAGAAGACGGAACAAGATTTATGGGCATTTCTTAGCTTTCTGCAGCACAGTTATGTCTTTCAGGAGCTACAAGACCTTCAGATGCATTCTAAAACTGAACACTGATATAATGATCTGATGACATTATATAATTAACCTCCTCTTCGATATGCATTCCTCTTCTCGTAAGCATCATCTCGGTCTATCATCAATGGACTTTCTGTTGGCATTTTTCATTCACCTCCAGTTCTTAGAGAACTCAAAGAAACAGGGCTCTTTGCATTTTACGTGTAAATGAAGGTCTGCTACATTGTTTTTTTCTAATTGCTGAGACGTAAAGCATACAGTCTTACACTAACTTCACGGCCACACACATACGGAAAGTAAAAATGATGATGCCGAGGCTGGATCTGGGCAATAATTTTTATAACTGATGAACAAGTAAACCTTTCATTATCTGGGAGTAGCCTAGAGAAAAAATACCATGCTAGCTAATTTAGTACAATCTTTACTGTATTTCTGGAGCTGGGCAAGCAGTTCCTTAGTCAACCATTTTTCAGCTGTTTTGGAGATGTCAAAAATATTTGAGAGGATTGTCACTATGAATAAATAAATAAGCAAGTACCAGTGCAAGCTTTGCTTCACGCCCCAGTTTGAACAGAAAGGGAAGGACAAGAGATGCGTTTTGCTGGAAGTAGAACAATTCCAGAGGACTATTTCAGTCCTGGTATTTTCTCAAGGGCTGAGTCAAAACCATGCAACAAACTCCTAGCAACAATGAAGGACCATCATGAATCTCACTATTTTCTGCTTTTAAGCATAGAGCATATTTCATTTATCTTGTCTTTTTTTGACATATATGTTCTATAAAAACACAAAACTGCACCAAGGCAAGATAATCCACTGAACATGCTCACTCCTTTACACCCTGAATGAGAACGTGAACATGCAAACTTTCTAGTTATATTCCCCATTTTCCACTGGAGTATGTTCAGCTTCAGTGATGGTATGTGATATATATGCACCAGACTATCCCCAGCAAGCAAAGCCCGCTAACAGCAGTAGCAGCTGGACAGAACCTTTATTCCTCCTTGCCTGAAGCATCACAGGTAAAGAAAACCTGTCAATCCCGACCCCAGGGCACTTGTTCTCTCTTCAAGAGCATAGTACAGCATGTTACCAGCCAACAGAGACTCCCCTGAGATGTACTAGCACAGGCGACCACTTGTCCTCTGAGCAGCTGGCCAACAGCAGAGAATCCACTTGCTGCAAGTGCTTCTGATCTGATGGGAACACAGCAAGTGGCCATGGACAGCCACTCACCTTCTGTCAAAAGTCAGTAAAGGACTTCTTTTACATTACGTCACCAATCAGTGTGTGGTTTTCTGATTATTACTGCAAAAGCAGTTTGTCTTTTTAGCATTATTCTGAAACCCGTCTTCGTCAAAGAGTTCTCGTTCACTGTCTGTACCAGCCAAAGACACTTGTTGATGCTCTCCACTTCCCTCCCAGAAGAGAATATTGCCCTGTGAACTACAGACCCTTAACATGAGCAGCTGATTTGCCATAACCACAGCTGGCAGGGCAGAAATTCCAGCAGAGGTTTTCCCCAAAAAACTGCTGGGAGGAGGAGAGGAAGGAAGCAGCTCCTAAAGAGTATCAATTCCCAATGCTACAGAAGCTTTCTTCACTGACAACAACTCTGTCTTAGAAACTTCCT